ACCAAATTTGGCTAAAAAACTTCCACTTTTAACATTCTTCTTCATCAATTCTTCCACTTTTGCACTCAAATCTTCCATTTTTGCACTCAAATCTTCATCTTTTGCACTCAAAAATGATATAATGCCGAAGAGAAGCAATGAAACCCCGCGAAAAAGTAGAAGGTTGAATGATGAAGCAAGATAGGAGTTCCGTGGGATAGGGTTGACGAAGTAATCATCCTAGTCAGCATCAACGACAAATTCCATTGGTTCCTTGTTGTATTCCGGATCAAACGTAGATGTCTATATGTCTATGATTCGATGATGGGAGGATTTGTTCATTCAAGAAAAGTTAAAGAAGCTGTTGATAAACTTGCAACCATGATTCCTTTATTTCTGACGAGCACAGGGTTTTATGGCAAAAGGCTTGATTTGTATGCGAATAATCTCCCTGATTATCAACAAAAGTCTCATTCTGAACCTCTCAGTATCAAGAATGTTACACATGTTCCTCAACAAGAAGAAAGTTCAAAGTATGTATACTTGTTACATTATTTTTTCTTCATCTTAAATTAAATTTGCTTTATAGTCATTATAAAATTTTTATTATTTCAATTTTTTTACAGTGATTGTGGTCTATACACATCTCTCTTTGCTGAATACATGAGCAATGGTGTTTTTGATATATCACATATTGATATTGATTCAAAATATCATCGTCAAAGATATGGTACATTACTTTGGGATTATGCAAAATCAAAGAATGATGAAGGCGCAATAAGTGAAAGTGAAGTTACAGGAACAGTTGCTAGCAAGAAGGGTGGACTTCGAACTCATAAAGAACAAGTTATGGACACCACCAATTATCCTATTCCAAAATTCCGTAACAGGAAGTAGAAATCTTCATGGCACAATGTACATTTTTTTGAATGACTTGTTTTTTTAACTTATGAACAATTTATGTAATTTCTCAAATTTTTATTATGAATACTGATGGTTTTATATAAATTATTACTGATTATTATTAATTAAAAAATGTGTCTCACTTTGTATAAATTTTTAACGCAACAAGAAAATATAGAAACATTGTATGAATCATGTATTAACATTATATGAATTATGAATGTTATATTATAATTTGATATATAGAATATAGACAATACTATTTTTTTTAAAAAATTATATAAATGACAGTCTGCTTCAATATATATTTTATATAATGTTAAATGTGTATGATATTTGTATAAATTGCACTTTTCAATATATAATGTTAAATTCTTATATGCATAATGTATGAAAAATATATGAAATAGTACTGACATATGATTCAACATGACAATATGAATAAATATATAATTATACCTTAATAATTGTGTATGACTTTTGCATAAATTTGTTTTGTATGAATACTATATGAATATTGTATACTTTTAAATACAAACAGAAATAGATTTTACTTATATTACTGGTATGAATACTGTATGAAAAATGTATGAATTATATCATATAAATTCTTATATGCGTAATGTATGAAAATTATATGAAAATAGTACAGACATATGATTCAACATGACAATATGAATAAATATATAATTATACTTTAATAATTGTGTATGACTTTTGCATAAATTTATTTTGTATGAATACTGTATACTTTCAAATACAAACAGAAACAAATGTTACTTATATTACTGGTATGAATACTGTATGAAAAATGTAGAACATAAACATACATTATTTTTATATGCAACTATTGCTTGTATAAATGTATAGATTTTGTATATAGTCCTCATTCATTTTGCAATAACTGTATGCATACTATATGATTATATGACTTACTAATGGTAACGAATGTTAATATATGAATAGTTGTATATACAATGTATGACATTTGTATGAAAAGTAATATGATTCAATAAAAAAAATAATGTTATAACAATGTAAATACTCAAAAAAAAACAGATGTAACAGTAGGAAATCATTGTTTTTGTACAGGATAATTTGAACATGTCTTTTTATTGTGTCCAACTTGATGGCATCTACTGCATGTGCTTTTTGTCCTCTTGAATTTCACATCAGCGAACCCCTTCCAGCATTCAAATTTGGGTCTTCCCGCTGATCTTTTTGGACCGGGTGGCATCATTTTAGGCTCTGAAATATGACTTGGTATATCCCATGTACTCTCGCACGGGATAGGCTCGACAGGAATGGCATAAGCATCTCTGAAATTCTTGAGGCTATAATATATTTTATCTCAACAGAATTTATATTTTCTTCTATATTAAGTAAAGATACTATAGCATTAACTAAACCAATATAAAGAGTATAAGTATCATATAGGATGCCCTCTATCTCAAAGTCAACGTATTTTCCTGTGTTCACAACATTAAAATTACATTTAGTGCATCACAGAATACATACAAAAGTTATACACAATTTAAATACAATTCACGGATATATACAAAAAAAATCCAATTTAATACACATTTAATACAATGTTTATACACAATTCACACATATGAAACATATCAAGTATGAAAAATCAATTCATACACAAATACTATACAATTCACTGCTACATACAATCTAAAATGCACTTCATACACAATTTATACAATTTAAAAAAATTATATACACAATTAATCCAACCTTTATACAAAATTCATATATATATATATAACAAATCAATCACTGATATATACAATAAAAAAAATTGGCGTTCATACATATTTCATACAATATATTGGTACATTACATACATAAATAATACAGTATTCATATTTCACCAATATACAAAATTTTAACATCTGACAATTTAAATATAATATGGAATAGCTTTTACCAAAAATTCACATTTCATATAACGTTCAAACAATATCAATACAAATTGTCAGATTTTGTTCATAATCTTTTCATAATAAAAACTGCAAATTGATTCAAAATCTATAAAATTTTTGTATTTTATCCAGTAATCAATTATCACACCAAACTTCATTTTAATTACACATCAAAACAAAATTATTATTACGTAATATTTATTACACATCGTAATTGTATCACAAAAAAATACATCAAATCAACATCTGCAATATAACAAAAATAAAAAAAACGACACATTCCATACACGACAACAAAAAAATATATATAATTACAACCAATAATTTATAATTAAAACATAACAAATCATAAATAAAAACTAACCTGATGAATTCCATTTACCACCATGTTTAATTAAAATTGACACAATTTTCTCCATCAAATCAAATCTAAACGTTTTCAACCTTCAATTTTAATTATTTTTCAAAAAAAAATGAAAAAATATATCAATATTCAAATATAAGAATAATCCTCACTTTCTGGAAAAAAAATCAAACAATGCACGTTTATGGAAAGAAAATAACAGGTTAGAGACATTTATGGTGTCTATCTATTATTAAAATATTTTCAAATCCCTTAAAATGTGCACATTAGTTATCAGTTAATAATAATAACTAATTTCACGCACATTATATAATTTTAAATTAATCCGTTTTTTTTGTTTACTATCTAATTTTACAAAATTAAAATTAACATTATTTTCTTTTTAAGAAAATGCTATAACTTGATATATTAAATGTTATAGAATGAAATCAAACTCTTATGCTATAACTTGAGAATATGACTATATAAAATGCTATATACCTAATTTACAATTTAGGAAATTGACTCTTTATTTAAATAGGCATCCTAATAATATTAAAACTTTATTGTATATCTTAATCATTCAAATTTCTACATGATTCATTAAGTGGTTATATCATAGAAAATAAACGCACTTCATAGTTAGATTGACATGATTAAGATCCAAATCTAAATATTACATCGACTTAATACTCGAGATCTAAATAATTATAATGTTAAAAAAATGAAATACGTTAAGTGCAAACAAATGAGGTGTTAAAGAGTCTTTTCTTAGTCCTCGCTTACAATGAAACTTAAACCTGTTGAATGCACCACGTCAAGACTCACTGATAATCGCTAACATTAATCAGAGTCCACTTTAAAATACACTATAATGGTGTGTTCAAGTTTACTTTATGAATACTATTATAAACCTCATTTATTGTCTTCTTGAAGGTACAAACGAACTAAAAGAATGAAAAAATTATACAAAAAAGACAAAATAATTATCTCAAGAAAAACATTTTCTTTTTCAGATGTCACTGTTTCCTAAAAAGGATAAAGAAAAAGTGAAGGCAACATAATGCCCTCCGCCCGCCAAGTCTTTCTACATTATACTTTCTTGTTGACCTGCTCTAAGTTTTTCCAGTTCTTCTTCAGCATCTTTCAACTGTTCTTTCAGTGTGGCTATTCTCATTTCCAGCTCTTCCACTGAACCCCGAAGAAGTGAAGGTTGATACGGTGTCAGAAAGTTATGTGAAAACACTTTCAGCGCTTCAACACCACAAACCTATCAGCGAGTAGCACATCACTTATCAGACTAGCAAAACTTTGGTTCTTGAAAAATTCAGAAAATAAATGATCATGTTCTTCCCCCGAATAAAGAAGTCATTTTATGTCAGGCGTTTGGGTGGAGGGATATATCCAGAATATATGCAAAAGCATCTTCAAACCTCTTGTGGCAGCAAAGGCAGCTTGGTAATATTGAAGTCGTCGTATAGCATGTAAAATTGATCCAAGTACTTTTGTTGCATCCGCATCCTAGCCTTCAGCAGCTTGGATTCAACAACTAAAAACAGACGCAGGTTCCAAAAGTTAGTTTTCTCTCACAGAAAACAAGCTTAAGAGGAAAAGCTGATACAGACAAGACCAAACGCAATTGAAAAGAAACTGTAAGGAATTAATACTATGTAAAGGGAACATATGAGACTTGTACCTTCTTCATCGAAAAGCACTTGGTTAATTATAATGTTATGTGTATCAATCTCGAATTTAGTGAGTTCCTGAACAAGCCTTTCAGTCTCATATAGAGAGAGGAATTCCGGAATGCAAACACAAACAAATGTTGTCAAGCCCTGTTAAAAAAAAGTGGCATTAAAGATCAGAAGAACTTGAGAAGTACACTAAATGGTTCAATAAAACAAAGAAATGAGGAAATGTATTCAGCCATTCCAGTAAGACTCAGTAAGAAACTTTCCCCTGCCTTGGCCAAAGCTAGTAGTAGGTACTAGAAATCTAAATAAGATGAAAAAACCAAATAAATGGATCAACAGGCGACATCAACAGACTACTCCACCTCCACACTCAAACCAAAAAGGTAGAACACATTGGTATTTCAGTTATTTTACCAAAAAATAAACTGCTCAGATAAATAGTTGGTAAAACCACTCATTAACTGTTCAAACTCATTTTCTGTAAAAATGCAAGTTTTTGCAAGGAGGAAAAGAATTGAACTAGACAGCACATTAGTTATATAGCTCCGTTCATGCAAGTATGCAACTTCTATATCTGTGATAACTACTTCTAAATTCTACTTATGATTTTCAAGAATCGCGAAGAAATCTTCTTCACAGTAAGACAACAGCAGCAGATGGAGAAATGCACGACTTCTCCTGAATCCCATTACTCTGTGACATTCATGCAAAAGCTGTAAGTTCTTCTCTATTTTTGATGAAATACGTGGTTTCATTAATGGTGTTAGAATAGGGATAGAAACATGAATAGTATATACAATCCATCCAAGGATTGTAATGTAGTGTCTATAATAGGGCTTAAGTGTAGTAATTTTAGATAAACAATTCAATAATATTTTTCTCCTATATTTCTCACATGGTATCTATGCAACTGTGAGAAAAGTATTGTTGTGCATCATTCCAGCGAAATCAGCTGTCATTGTGCAGTTTTCCAGTAACCTAAACGGTTGTCTGAATAAGTAACATTTTTGTCGGTGTTTTTCAAAAGCCAAAACCACTCAAGTGGTTGTCACATGCACCCTCACTTGCAGCCAGAAGCGATTCTCCGGCGAGTGTGTCAGATATACATGCCGGTACGTGAGTCATTTTCTGGCCACTTTATTGAGAAAGAGGTAACTTTATTTTCTAGACAAACAATTCATCACCCAAAAAATGATGAATCGGAAACTTACCTCCCAGAGAAAAGTGGCACACCCGGGTAAGGTATTCTTTACAAGTTTCTTATAAAATCAACTATTTCAATGTCTCCCCCTACCAGATTCTGTTTACACAAAAAAAATTGGCTTATACAATTAATTCTAATCTTCTGTAATTTAATCTTTTGTCCATCAAAGCATCTTGAATTCCTTTCTTTTCAAAGGATCCACCATATGCATGCTGGGATGGTTCTCCATAGTGCTCGTTTCTTCCTCTGTTCCCAATACATTTCCAACTGCTTAGAAGTTCAATTGTTGTCTTAGGCATCACCAAGTTAACTCCTAGTGAACACAAACACATGTTCCATAGGCTCATAGCTGCTTTACAGTGGAGGAATAGATTATCATTGATTTCTGCTTCCTGCTCTCTCATGACAAACCTGGAGCAAATCTGCCAGCCCCTTTTCTGTAAAACCTCATGAGTTAGGCAAGCCTTTATGAATACCCAACCAGGTAAAGCAAGCTACTTAGGATAGTATTTGGTCTTCCAGACCAGCTTCCAAGACCATGTGTCTAGCACTGTATGTGTGTGTTGAGCTCCCAATAGCATGACTTAACAGTAAACACACCCTTGTTGTGTAGTTTCCATCTAGGTTTGTCAGGCCTCATGGATAAAGCTGGGTGTGAGTTAGTACTTCCAGTAGGTTGGCGACTTCCCTAATTGCCCAATCATTCAGTGCTCTTCTAAATGATAGGTCTCATCCTTGTTGACTCCAAACTTGGGATACCCTGGCATTCCTCTGCAGACTTAAAGTACAGGTGTGGGATGGCAGTTTCTAAGACTGTTCTCCAATCCAAACATCATCCCAGAAATCAGTTTTCAAGCCATTTCCAACCACAAGTGAGATGAAATGGGGCCATAATCTTATGGTTTTCCAGACACTACACCCAAAGGTTTTACAGCATGTTTTCTCTTCTTGTGTTTGAGGTCTATTCTCAGTGGTCTTGGTGATGAGTTGTTATTTCTGTCGATTTTGTGGTACTTTTTAATGATAAATAATTTATTGGAATTGCTAAAATTAGAGGTTCATAAAGAAATTAAGTCTATCTACCACGTTCAAATTACTGGCATTATTATTCATGCCCCAATGTGAGATTAGTGGACTAACAATGATATAATTTTAGGTTTTGGGAGTTTGTGGAAGGCTTAAGGAGTGGAATAGCTTCTAATGCTTGAGGAAATGCAACTAGAAGGCCAAAAGTTGAAGAAAAAGAACTAAAAAGAGCAAAGAGAAAATTTGTGTGGAACATTTGCTTCACCCACATAGGCGGCCTCATCCAGTAGCCAAGGAAGCCATGAAGGAGAGCTTCTGGAATCGCCCATGTGAGCTATGTAGCGCACCCACATAACTGGACATGAAGGGGTGTTTTTGGCATATTTGTGCACGACTTCCAATAGATTTTTAGGGTACTTTCGCAGGGAACCTTGTACTGCTGGATCTTAGGGAAGAAACCATAGCTACTTTTGCAAGGTTTTGAAGAATTTCATCATAGAGTATCTTTCCTAAGTACTTTTTAATTATGGCTTCCTTTTCTTTTCATCTTGTATTTTTCATTTATAGTATGAGTAGCTAAACCCATTAGCTGGGGTTGTAGACTCTTATGGCGTTAATATGAATGGGTGTTAGTTTATCTTGGCTATGATTACATGGGTACTGATTATCTACTTGTTTACATCCTTTTTTGCTGATTTGGTGGGTTGCAAACATTAGATTAAGCCCTACACATCTATTTCTTGCTTGGGAAAGTGGAAATTGGATTGGGTTTTTAACAAGTGGCAAGGAATCAAGAGTATTGAGGATTTTTTATGCTTGGTTAATAGAAACGAACTAGGAATAGGAAGATTCCTACTTGGTCTATCAATTAGATTTTAATATTTCTCTATCTTTGCATTTGGAAGAGAACTTGTAGAGATCAACTTGCTAGAGTTGGAAAATTCAAGTAAGTAGCTTTCAATTGTATTATAATCATCAATCCATTGTATGTAAGCAGGATACTTATATCCATGAATAGACTTGTCATATTGAGGCTACAACTCCGGTACCTTTAAAAAATAAAAACAAATCATATTTTCTCGCATTTCAAATGTTCGATTAAATTCCCAGCTCAAACAATAGTCTAGTTTTAGAATTAATCACTCAATTAGTCTTTTATTTGAAGATAACCCTAGGAAAGTCACAAATGCTTACATACAAGGGATTGCTGATTATGGTTCAATTGAAAGCTACTTGCTTGACATCCTGGCACACGCGTACTCCTCGTGGGATCGACCCAAACCTTTGTTATGATTGCTACGACCATACAACATTGCATATGAGGTGTAGGACTAGACATGATCACCTGGTCCACTTGTAAGAACTCATTTAGCGCTTTGCTCCTTCTTGCCTCTACTTATCCAAAACTTCTCTGTTCCAGGTAGTGATGTCCTTTTTGAGATCCATTAATTCCAGCATGAGCATGACAACAAATTCATGAACCTGAAGAAAAGAGAATTGACATCCCCCATTCATATTTCAGAATAACTTCCGGATTAGGGCTAATGCTGAAATATCATTAAAGCAACCAGTTTGAAAGGAACTGAGAACTGTCATTTCCTGCCTCAGGGTGATCAGCATTCTGTTAGGAACTTCTTTAGCTGTATGCCTTAACCTATCTGACCATTGATGGATTCTTTTCCCATCGGCATATGACTCTGTCCCAAGGTTGGAGAGGTTGTATCTCTGATTAGAAGATTTACCTAAGAAGCAAAAGATTTTATCAACTATGTCTCCCCATTCCTGTTGTAAAAGCTCTTCGGGATAATAGTACCAATCAAGATCCAATGCTCACATAACGACAAAAGTTGTTGAAATTCTTTGGAACTCTGAACATACATACTTTAATTTCCCTTCCCCGTCTCCGAAAACAATCACCAGTCCCACACCGAAGCTTGCTTATGCAAGTTCTCTTCATCTATTTTAATATTTACTTGTAAATCTCCTAATGCGCACTATCAGCAGAAACCAACTATTCTCAAAGGACTTATCACTAGAAACAAGGTAGGTTTTCTCCTATCATAAGTCATCGCTAAAATCAATGGCCTCAAAGGACTCCATCACCAGAAATACAGAAGATTTTCTCTTCCATAACCAAACTGATACAAAGAATCATCAGAAGAGAAGCTTGCTGGAGCAAAGTGAAAGGGAGAGAGTTTGGATAGTGGCCCATTTCCCAAGAGAGCAATATTGTGTAAAAAGTTAAAATTAAAAAAAAAAGGTTAAAAAAATGTGAGCTGTAAATTTATTCCAAAATCTAGTGAACATTTTTGGTAGTAATTGAAAGCTGTAAAGTTCTTCGTTCTTGTTCAAGCCAAATAGGACCTCTCATACCACTGCCAACCCCATTCGCCAAAACAACAGACTGAAAAGAAAGCTACATTGGGTGGTTTTTTCTGGGATGAGGGGTGAGGAGCTGTTGGGATGGAATTTGCAAGCAGGAGTATTATAAATGCAAAAGAAAAGGTATGAATGCTCAGTAGTATGGAGTTATAGTGCTAGCTGCTAATGTCTCATCGACAAGGAGATATTATGTGTCACTACTTCCACTAAACACAAGACATATGAGTAATTCAGCTCCCATAAGAGATATTCTTCCACAGCTTCCTGATTTTGTTGATGCTTCTTATTCGAACTTATTAGCAATTTCCCCAGGTCCAAAAAGAAGATTCTTTAAACTTTACTAATTTATCACAGTACAGTCTAGCAATAACAACATAAAAGAAACTTTATCAATATATGGACGAGCATTTGAATGGTAAAAATCTTACTGGATCCTTGAACTGTCTGTTTACTTGTTCAATTATATCTTTCATGCCTTCAAGTTTGCCTAGGATCGCATCCTCGCCAAATTCAGTATCGACACCAAAGATACGACTCATCTGAAATAGACACGTAATCTTTTAGTAAATTCAAGCTGCCAGATGAAGATGAATTATCTTTTCTGAAACATTCCAATGATCCTTCCGTTGTTAAAATAGCGACCTCCCCACCCCTGCCCTCAAATCATTACATTAGAAGCTCAAAGGGGGAAAAGTAGAAAAAGACGTTTTTTCGGGCAGGGGGCAGAGATTTACCTGACTGATAACGCCACCAAATTTATTCCTCAAACTCATTACTTTGGCAAGCCCCTTCTCTAGTGTTGATGGGAATTGTAATAACCGTAAAGTATGTCCAGTTGGGGCCGTGTCAAACACTATGACAGAGTAGTCCATTGTTTGCACCAATCTAGAAAGAAACAAGAGGAAATGAACTTTAGTCTTAACTGATAAAGACAACACATTATATATATTGGCAAAAGCTCAGCAAATTTCGTGGCCTCTAGAGAATCTACAAAATAGTGATATCTGAGCACTACGAATGTACCATAAGTAAATAAATGTTGAGAATCAGGCATGCTAAGAGTATCTGTAGTGATAAATATTCTGGTACCACTGAAATACACAAATGATCTGGAATCCTGTTCGGACACTCCAAAGCTCTATAAATATAAATCACTCCCAAGACCTTAATCTCCTATAGACGGGTTTCCTATGAGCTTTTATCAGAACTTTTGGAAGATGCTCAAGGTAGATATCATGAATACCATTAGACAATTTCATGATCAGCAGGAGCTTGAATGATACCTTTGTGGCTCTTATCCCGAAGAAAACAGAAGCAGTTGACCTTAGGGACTTCAGACCCATGTTTGATAGGCGGGGTATACAAAATTATAGTGAAGCTGCTAGCTTGAGAGGTTGAAGAAAGTAATCAGCAAACTGGTAAATAAACATCAGATGGGAATTAATAAAAGGCAGACAAGATCATGGATGCTGTCCTTATTGCTAGCGAATATGTAGATACTAGAATCAGAGGGGCTGACTCTCGAGTTATGTGCAAGCTAGACATTGAAAAGGCATATGACCATGTCAATTGGGAGTTTTTGCTCAATATGTTAAGACAAATGGGGTTGGTGAGAGATGGTTGAGATGGATTGAGGTCTGTATAAAAACGGTTAGATTCTCCATTCTGATAAATGGAGAACTTACTGGTCAGAAAGAGGTCTCAGACAGGGAGACCCTTTGTCCCCTTTCCTTTTCATCATAACCATGGAAGGATTCGATAGTATGATGAGGGTGCCAACTCAAAACTCATTGTTGCAAGGAGTCAAAGTAGGCATTTTCTCACGGGTGGATATGCAGATTTGTCACTTGTTTTATGCTGACGACACTGTCATATTTTGTGAAGCTAAGGAGGAACAAATTAGAATTGTCAGAATGATATTGGTAGTCTTTGAGGCGGTCTCGGGATTGGCCGTCAATTGGAGGAAGAGTTGTATATATCCCATCAAAGAGGTTACACAGATCCAGGCCTTAGCAAATATATTGGGGTGCAAAATTGAACCATAAAGAGCTAGTGATATGGGATGGTATATTGAAAAAATTGAAAAGAAGCTGGCAAACTGGAAATCTCAAAATCTATCCTTCGGCGGGAGAACCATTCTGATAAACTCTGTACTAGACTCTTTACTTACCTATGTGATGTCCCTATTCCCTATGCCGGCCAAAGTGGAAGAAAGACTTGATAAATTAAGGAGAAATTTTCTTTAGCCGGGAATAAAGGAAGGTAAAAGAATACATCTGTTCAAATGGCAAACTGCTTTGCTGAGTAGAAGCTCAGGGGGGTTAGGGATCAGAAACTTCGGGCTACAAAACAAGTGTTTGTTAGCAAAATGGTTGTGGGGGTTCAGAAGACAGGATCAAGCACTTTGGAAGGAAGTTAACATAACAAGTACGGAGAGAATAGCCCATGGGTTTCCGATATGGTGAATATCCAGTATGGTGTCTCGGTGTAGAGAACTATCAGAAATTTATGGGGTCAACTATAACACAATATTGGATACGAAGTGGGGAATGGGACCAGGGTTCTTTTCTGGAAAGTTCACTGGATTGGTCAGGATTCCTTGATGTCTTCTAATCGGATATATATATCCTCAGCTTGTCTCCAGATGCAATGGTAAATGAGGTACAGTCTGAACAAGGGTGGAATTCAGCTTCAGAAGTTACTAAATGACTGGGAGATAGGGAGAGCAGCCGAGATGCTACAAACACTAGATGATTTCAAGGGCACAAATCTCGAAGTTGATGTAATGATTTGGAAACACAATCATGATGGTATGTTGTCAGTCAACAGATTGTACAACAGGAAAGTGAAGGAACTTCCAGGGGAAATCTCTGGACCATAGAGTAAGGTATGGAAAAACAAAGTGCCAACTAACGTGAGGTGTTTCTCATGGCTAGTGGCTAGAAGGGCATGCCTAACTCATGAGAAGCTGCAAAGAAGAGGCTTTGAAATAGCTTCCTGGTGTTCATTGTGTAATGAGACAAATGAGACTAATAGCCATCTATTCCTCCATTGCAAAGTAACTGCTCAATTATGGGCCATTTTTCTAAGCAGAACACACACGAACTGGACAATGCCAGAACACACTGCAGACCTTCTTAATTGCTGGGTGAGAACTGAGAAGAGGGGGGGAGTAAGAGCCATAAGAACTGGTGGAACATGATACCCTCTTGTATATGGTGGACTATTTGGAGAGAAAGAAACAAGAGGTGTATG